GGTGACAAAATAATAACTTGATAGTGCTCAACTTTTCCCTTAAGGTTACATGTGATTTTAGGTAGTTTTGGAATATCGTTTTGTATATTAAAATTAAGAACTTATTTAAATTTATTTAAATTTTGATATTATAATGCACCGCATTGTAAGACTAAGGTGGATTTCGACTGACGTTTTATCTCTTGAAACTGGATCATTAAGCATTAGGCCCTTTCAGACGATTAGGTCTAATTGATTGTCTTCGAAACGTGCACTAATCCGTACATATGACAAGTCTACATTGGCGAAAAAACTTTTTTTATAAATATCTTATATGGCTCTCGTTGTTATTTCCACCGGAGTTGATTTCAGGCGTCGCCTGAATTTGTCGCCGAAGTTCTCATAGTCCTCATCGAATTTTTTCATAAGAGTTCGGTAATCGGTGGAAATGTGCGTTTTCAGGATTGTGTTGCGGAGCTGGTTCGATTATTTCTGCGATTCATCATCCATGTATCCTTCCTTTGTAGTTCTTTGTTGAAGACGAGTCTGTCATTGAGTAGTCGATGGTACCTGATGGTTGATGGTACCTGATGTTGCCTCGAAAGTAACGGTGTGTGGTGTTTGTCGCATTGCTTGCTAAGCCTGGGCCTACGTCAAAACCACGTCTTAATCTGAAACATGCCTGCAACATTGTTGACGATTCGGTATAGGCGAAGGCTTAGTAACATTCGAATAAATTGCAGCCTTGGACACTACTGAGATGTCGCGCACACCTTAATGTTTCTCACACAGTATGTAACTAATCGATCGTTTCATGCAACATATGTTCATCTTTTTGAGCTAGGTATTGTCAGTTCTCTCATCTTCTCAAGAGCTAATACCAACCTTTATCCTGTGGATTTTTTCTTTATTTCCATACCAATCATCGAACTTTTCACCTTCTTTCTCTGTGCGATGTTCATATTGAAATTTCTCATTACAAGGAGGCATGTCGATGTATATTTTTGATTTAGTATTTCCTTTAGTTTTTATCAGAATTCTTTTACGTCGTCATCTTCGTGTGCTTTTGGGCGTTCACGTGGACTATTTTTGATAAATCGTGGACAGAACACTACGATCACTTGAACTAACAGGAAGTGACTTTTGATCATCATTCTTTTCGGGTGATAAAGCCCATTCATGCAACCGTTTTTGAATCGCTTTCGCAACTTCTCAACTTTGTGATGTTACCGTGTGTTCACATGTTAACTCTGCTTCTTCATGTTTTTTTCAGCCATCATGACGTCACCGTTTAACCTGGACTTCTGTGACAGTTATTAATGAATAGATTTCGATTCTTCGCTTGTTACTATCTGCATTCCACGACAGACCTCGTTGTCGATCTTTTCAATAACATGACACTTTTTTAATAATATTATTCATGAGTGCTGTTGGTAAGTGAACAACACATTGAACATGATACCATATGTGTGTATGCCTGCAGGTTGCATTTATAATGTTTATATGTACAGTACAAGTAGAGTTTAAATAGTTACATGTATTTATGTACAGTAAGAGGGAGTTGTGCGCTAAAGCGCGTCAGTCTTGCATAACTACTCCAAAACCAGATTTTAATGGCTTACTGCACAGCCCATTAGATTCTCTGCTGTTGAAGCAGGCCGTCTTCATGTGCTGGTTGAGCAATCACAACACCAGACACATTGCATAACTTTTTAGTTGTTTTAGAAGATATTTGAATTTACTGACATTCTCCGCCACAGGAACATGAATTTTCATATTTTGTAAAAGTATTTCAATTATTATAATGATCGTTATGATAATGATGGATATGATCGCGAACGTGTGTGATAATCGTTGAGACTGTCATGATCATTATGATCGCCTGGATCACACTCATAATTTTAATCACATCACGGTCATAACGGTTATAGTAATCATCATGGCGATTATGAATGGCATGACAGCGATGATGATCATAATCACCTTCACTGTCATCGTACTCATCGTTATCTTAGACGTCATTACCATTACCGCTTTTGTTCCTTCATAAAATGCTTACTATAATCGCACTTGTAACTGATATGATAATAGTAATCAGCTGATGTCTAGAAGACTGACAGTGGTAATGCCAGTGACTTTTTTCATATGCTGCAGCTATTCGAGGATCTAAAGCGAGTTTTATAAAATTGTATCATAATCATCATCAGTTTTTTTTCGATCCACTGCTCGATGAAGTCTTCTCAAAGTCTGTGCTGTAAAATTCTGTATTCTGCAGCTTTTATCCATAGTGATCTAGCGAAATGCTTTACCTCATGTTGACAACGATCCGGAGTTCTTTCTGCTAACCGTCTACCATCTCTTCGAAATCAGTCTGTTGTCTCTCTGGTGTGGCGATAGTCGGTTCTTATTGCATCATGCCTTATCCATTGCCATTTAATTTCTTCACTCAGATAATGACATCGGAGAATCTTGTTTCCGCTTTTCACCATTCATTCGACTTCCTTGTTTTGTAATTCCCATCATACACCTTTCCATGCTGCGTTGCTGTCTGATACTTTACTAATAGGTTTCACGCTTAGGGTTCATGCTTAGTATCTCTAGATTAGAAATGCCCTCCATGCTGGGAGCACACATTGATCGAAAGTTTTTGTTTCAACTTCTTCAGTATGAGGTGGCAGGGGACGGGGCAATTCAGAATCAGTTATCCTGTTGTGAATGCCTCTTGATTGTGCATTGTCACTAGCGTTGTTTTTTTATTATTAGAAATTGTGTGGAGTGCAGATTTGCATTAAAATGTGTTATAGTGTGCCTTAACAGTTAAGTTTGTAATAAACTTTCATTCTGAACGCCTTCTGTTCTAGGCCTCAGCGGCAGGTTCCTGGTTACCGCCCTTCCGACTATATTTCAGTAAGTTGCTGGCTGAAATTGCGCCGATCTTCAGGTGTAATTTTTGTCTACCTTATTCAGCGTGAAGGACGGCGTGTTCCGGCAATACGTAGGTCCTCGTGACAAGCAGGATTTCATCCACTTCATCCAGGACAAAAAATGGACGGTCGTTGAGCCCGTTTCAGCCTGGAAGTATCCGGATTCTGTTCAGTAAGATAAAATCACACGAACAAAATGTTTTATGATAATTTTTCTTTACCTTCTCAAGAATGAGCGTCGTCGCATGGTTTTTTCGACTCAGCATGGCCGTCCGCGACTTCCACAATCTCTTGACCGAAAAACACGGTGTCCCTTCCTGGGCATCCTACGCGATGTTTGGAATGGTGACTTTGATCCTCGGGTGCATTCTCGGCTTCGTAAGTTCGTCTTTGAATGCTGGGATATGCTCGAAGTATGGCATTAATTAATATGCGTTATAAATCAAATCATCCATATCTTCTTTGACCGTGTTAAGCAGAACAGAGTACAACAACTTATTATGACCGTTGAAAGGTATGTGGAAGAAAATATTCCTTCTGTCCTGATGTTATGCGTGGGATTAAGAAATGTGTAGACAGTTAAGTTTTTACCATTAGCTTTGTTTTGGTATTCTTAGCCATGAATCAAAAATCAATTACTACTGCAGGAAAAATGTTTCGATATATTGGTTATGTGATGTGGAGTAACAGGCGATGAAGAGAAGGAAATGTGTCTGAAAGATGTTTTGGGATTAAGATCAATGGCAGGTATAGGGCGATTCTGGCTGAAGTGACTGCATGGAAAGAGAGAGAAGTGGGAACAGAGTTGCTTCATTGATCATGAGTAATTTCGATGGCATTGCACTGATTAATGTAGTGCACTTCTGTTAACGACTTACTAATTAGGTTCGAGATCAGAGCATATTTCGAGAAATAACTTCTACGACTAGCCATCGGGATTTACCCGCAACTGTGCCGCTTCTTTTCCAGGTTGTAACTCTGGATATAATTGTGTCGGAATGGAGCTAAAGAGCTTCGGAAGACCGGTTCTGCTCTCTTATTTTTTAAGTTCATCCTTCTTGCTGATACTGTTGGATCTAACGGTTGCTGTGTGTAACTGCTGGTACGGTTGGATGTAACGACAGTTTAGAACGGCGGTATTTGGTTAGCCACAGTCTTCTTGCCATTCATAAGAATGCAGTTGACGACAACTTAAAGCTTGTGTGTGTGTCTGTCTGTGTCTGTGTGTGTGCGTGTGTGTGTGTGTGTGTGAGAGAGAGAGAGAGAGAGAGAGAAGGCTACTGATGCATGGATCAGAGTGCGTTGAGCAGATGTTC